ATTTTGAAAAATTGACACTTATGACTGGTTTTGTGCTCCAGGGTCACATATATGAATTAAAATGAATGAATCAGTATGGGAAGGAAAGAGGAAAGAGGGATGAATGTACCTGATAAGGCGAGGCAGAAGGCGACAGGAGACCCTGCTGTATGTATTTCTGAGCAGAAGGAAGAGCTTGTGCTGTTGTGACGTCAGTCTGGAGCTGCAGATCCACGGAGTTTGAGAAATCCAGTGCTGTGATGCCGCTGCGGACACAAATACAGGAACACCAGGTTAGAAACGAGCATCAATAGAAATGGCATCGTGCTTTATTCACGTACCTCAGGTAGAAATACAGCGACTCTGGCTTCAGGCCTCCGTGAACCACTCGACAGGAATGAAACTGTTTGACCAGCTCCAGCAACAGAACCACTAGCAGAGAAACATCGTCTGCAGCACTGGGCTCGGCCAGAAGATCCTACACGTGGAGAGAGTTTGTGTGAGGACACGTGGATGCGGAGGGAGGTTTAGGAGGAGTCTGAGCGAGCCGAACCTGAAGGGTGTCTCCGTGAGGAATCCTCCAGAGAGTCATGCAGCCGTTCTCAAACACATAACAGCAGATCTGGACATCAGCGTCCGGTTCATCACGAGACCGGCGAGATCTGAGCTGTGAGCTGATGAAGAAATCCCACGGCACTCCCGACCAATCCACCTTTACACCAAATACAAAAAAATACATAAATCACAAAAAATATGAAAAATAAATAAATAAATATGTATATATGAAGAGTTCAGATATAAAAGCCTCTAAATGCCGTCTGAAATTTTCTTCTAAAATTAGCATTTTTATCAGACTCCTATAATTATGTTCAGTTGTTTCACTTTAATTGCATAGAAAAGGACCAATACATTGCCATTAGAGTTAAATTACTGAACCTAAATATAGCAGCCTGATAAAAATGCTCATTTTAGAAGAAAATTTCAGACGGCATTTAGAGGCTTTTACATCTGAACTCTTCATATATATATATATATTCTTTATTTGGCACTCTAACTCTAGCACTTTCTATTCTATTTTAATTCTACTTTATCTATATTTATCTTCTTTTTTGTTTTATTTTTTAT